GCCTTTGTTGCTGGGGTGACAAACTTTGTTTCCAGGATGAAGTTGTCCTTGGGTGTTCTCCTTGCTGAAATAAAGTGGCAGGATTCGTCCTGAATTCTTGCATTAACTAGGGTCCTGATCTCGGAGGGATTGACGTCGGATGGGGCAGTGGTTTCAACAATGATTTCTCTGTTGATTTTTGTATATTCTGGCTTGAAGAGAGGGTCCGCTTTTGGCTTTGCGGACTTCTTCCTTCTCTCCACAACCTGGAAATTTCCTTGAGCAGGACCGGGTGCCGAGGCCACGGCGGCCCAGGTGCCTGCTTTCCATCCACGGGGTGGGGCTTGTTGGGGTGCGGGTGGGGGGGCCTGAGGAGCTGCCTGAGGCGCTGCTTGGGGAATTATTTGAGGGACCGCTGGAGGGGGCATTCTCTGTCCCTGCGGTTGTTGTTTTCGCTGTTGTTGCTGTTGATGCTGCTGTTGGTTTTGTTGTGGTTGTTGCGGTTGCTGCGGTTGTGGTTGTTTGTTGAGGAGAAGATGGATCGCCGAGTGCATACTGGTGATCATAGTTGTCTGCGCCTCGATTTGGTGCCTCAGTGTATCCACTGTTCTCCGGAGTGTAGTCGTTTGCTCTTCGATAATTTCCATCCTGTCAGTGGGTGGGCAGATCCGGCTGGTGGCATGTCTAATGGCCCAGGTAATGTAGTTCAGGTCCGTCTGGGTGTGAGTGTCCAGGGGAACGATGCTTGGGTAGAGGTAGTCAATTCTCGGTTGGTATGGGTCGTTGTAGTCGGATTCTGTTGCAAAGGTCGAGGAGAACTCCTGTTCCTGAGCTCCGGATGGGGTTGGGTCGGGAACTGGAGTATTCCTGTTCTGCGGAGGGGCTGACCCTTGCTGGGAGGACTGGGTAAAAAAGGACTGGAGCGAGGCTTGTTGCGACATAATTGAATGTCCAGTTCTTCTGGCGGCGTAGAGTGATGTTTCGGAAAGGTTTCTTTTCCTTCCCTTTGGGAGGTCAAGGCTGGAGAATTCTTCGCTAGAAGCCAGTTTTCGTAGTGTTTCTTTCGCTAGTAACAACAAACGCGACCGTACGATCGGGGACGAAGTGGCTCAGCCTGGTATGGTATACCAGGTAAAACCGAGAGGAATAAAAATAAAGTGTTTTTGAAGCGAGGTTTGATATCAGGAAGTTTTGCGAGCCTTAGCGAGCAAGGAGAATACAGAGGTTGCGTAAGGAAAGAAGGAAAGAAGGAAAACAAGTAAAAGCACGAAGTAACGCCCCCTTATATATCCAACCAAAGTCCAATAATGACTAATATCTTCGCGTAACAGAAACCAAAAAAACGTAACAGAAATCCCCATTACAAATCCTACTCCCACTACACAATACCTCCTCGTCTCGTTCCAATTTATTACCTAGCCGAAATACATGGTTGCCGTTACAGATCACGCCCCCCTCTAAGGCCTACCTCCTGGTAGGCTTAGGTTTCTTTGGATAACGCTCGTGGAATCGTTTGGCGATATCAGGTGAATGTTCAAGGTCCGACAGTGGTTGCCAGGAAGCTTCATCATATCCTTTATATCGTACCAAGTACTCAAACTTCCCTCTCCGATTCCTCGAGTCCAAAATATCTTCAGCTTCCCATTCTTCCTCCCCTTCGATCTTAACCGGAGGCAGTGGTAATTGTCGTTGTCCTGGTAAAGGATCATTTGCTTCGGGGGACAATAACGAAACATGAAATACTGGATGAATCTTCATTGACCGGGGAAGTTCCAATTCGTAAGCATAGGGATTGATAATTCGTTTAACGCTATAAGGTCCAATACGTTTCCAATCGAATTTCTTAGAAGGCCGCTTCGTTAGAATGTGGCGTGTCGATAGGAAAACTTTATCTCCCAAATAGTAACTAGGAGCTGGAGTCCGATTCCTATTGGCTGACTCTTCTTGTATCCTTTGCGCTCGAAACATTTCTTCTCTCAGAAAATCCACTACATCCTTCATTTCTTTTGCAATACGATTAGCTTGATCCTCCGCCGTCGTTCGACCATGTTCCAAAGGGCCAAAAGTCATTTTTGGATTTCTTCCCGAATTGGCATAAAACGGGGAGACTTTTGTTGTTTCAGAGGCATGATTGTTTGTCGCAAATTCAGCCATTGGTAACATTCGAGTCCAATCGTCCTGTTGATAGGAAACATAGCTTCGGAGGTACTGTTCCATTACGGCATTGATTCTTTCCGTTTGTCCATCTGTTTGAGGGTGAAATGCAGTAGAGAATTTTGGTGATATTTCCAACCGATTACAAAGCGACCTCCAGAATTCTGCAACGAACTGTGTTCCTCGATCAGATACAATAGTATCTGGTAACCCATGTAACTTCCAAACATTATCGATATATAACCTCGCTACTTCCCTTGAATCCGCCTCTTTAGTTGTTGGTATTAAATGTCGCATTTTAGTTAACCTATCCACCACAACTAAGATTGCATTGTATCCATCACTCTCAGGGAGATCAGTGACAAAGTCCATCGATATATCCATCCACGGTCCCTCAGGTATCGGCATAGGGCGGAGTACTCCATAAGGTGCATTGCGTGGTGCCTTGCTACGGGTACATACATTGCAATTCCTAACATACTGGTCGACATATTTTCGCATTTGTGGCCAGTAATATTCTCGGTTTAGAAGTTCCAATGTCTTTGCTCTACCCGGATGTCCTGCGGATAGTTTGTCATGATGTTCTTTTAGGAGCCTTAGCCGAAGGTCATTGTCATTTGGTACATATAGCGTGTCTCGGTAAAGTAGCCGACCGTTGTTATCTTCCGTACATTCGGCAAGCGAAATTTTATTCGAGTGGCGAACGCCATTCCGAAGCATAGCGAGGATCTCATTTGGGAAACTATCAACTTGGTAAGCTTTTGAAAATAACTCCTCTACAGTGGACGCTCCTTCAGCGGATTCATTTGACAAAGAACCCGCGAACAAACTTAGCTTTGTATCCAAATTTTTTCGCTTCAAAATCACTTGACTCTGATGCGTCAACCGTTCATCCCCCTCTTTAGGTAGGTCACCTGACCTTCTGGTCAATGCATCTGGTTTTGTCCCCTGTTTTCCTGGCCGAAATTGTATAACGAAATCGAAGCGTGAAAGGAATTCGGACCAACGGGCTTGTCGACGATTTAATAATTTTGTTGTCATAAAATATTCAAGATTCCGATGGTCGCTAAGAACTTCAATTGGGAATTGAGCTCCCTCCAAGTGATGTCGCCATTCTTCGAAGCATGGTATGATTGCTAAAAGTTCTTTGTCATAAATCTCATAGTTACATTCTGCAGGAGAATGTTTCTTGGAGAAGAAAGCGACTGGGTGTAGGATTCTTTCGTCATCACGTTGAGACAGGATTCCTGCTGAAACATAATCAGATGCATCGGTTTCTATCACAATCTTTCGATCCGGATTAAAATGAACTAGTGTCGGTGCCATGGTAAACATCTTTTTCAAAGTTTGAAATGCTTCCTCTCTATCATCCGTCCATTCGAATTTAACGTTTTTCTTGGTCAAGGCTGTAAGTGGAGCAACAATTTTCGAATATCCTAGAATGAATCGTCGATAGAAATTTGCAAATCCTAGAAATACTTGAACATCATGGAGATTCGTCGGTGTGGACCATTCTAACACATCGATAACTTTCTTTGGGTCCATTCTATTCCCATTCGGGGTAAGAATTAAACCAAGATATTTTGTCTCTTGAACCATAAATTCAAATTTTTCAGGTTTAAGGTGAACATGATTCTCATCAAGTACCTTTAGAACCTTTCGAATGTGTTCTTTATGTTCTGATAGAGTCTCGGAGTAGATAAGGATATCGTCTAAGTATGCCGTTACGAATTGATCGAGGTAGGGACGTAAGATATCATTGATCCAATGTTGAAAGGTAGCAGGGGCATTAGCTAATCCAAACGGCATTACTGTATATTCGAAATGTCCATATCGAGTCCGGAATGCCGTCTTCTATTCATCCCCTTCCGCTATTCTGATTTGATTATATCCCCAGCGCAAATCCAACTTAGTATAGTATTGTGCTCTTGACAACTTGGCTAGAGTTTCCTTTAACAATGGTAGTGGGTATCGATTCTTGATTGTGATTGCATTTAGACCTCGATAATCAACACAAAGTCGAAGGGTTCCATCGTTTTTCTTCACAAATAATATAGGTGCTCCCGCTGGTGACTCACTAGCCCGAATAAATCCTTTGGGTAAATTTTCATCAAGATATTCTCGTAGTGCCTTCAACTCGATTTGAGATAATCCATATATAGGTCCATATGGTGGTCGTTTGCCTTCTTCCAATACTATTTCAATATCATGGGACGGTCGATGTGGTGGGAGAATTGAAGCATCGTATTCTTTAAACATATGGAGACGATGGTGAAATTCCTTTGGTACTAGTTGTTCAATGTCGACTGTAGATTTTTCAGTTGCTGAAACAATGACTGTATGGTGTTCCGGTAAGGGAATCAAGATACCATGAACAATAACTGCAGTTCCACTAATTGAACAGTGTTGACAACAGCTCCGAGAGTCAAAAGTAAGTAGATTTTCCTTTGGTCGAATCGTAACATCATGACGTCGCATCCAAGGTATCCCCATCACAATCGGATAGTGTCCTAACTTCGTTACAAAACATGGCGCAGTCTCCCGATGGCCATGAATGTCCAGCGAGACATCGACAATATGGGTGATTTTTCCTGATTTAATAGGCCTTCCGTCTATAACGTCTACATGGCGAGGTATTTTAAGAGGGGTCATTGTAAGATTGTTGTGGCGTGCAAAAGATTCGTCAATGAAAGCGTATCGTGATGCTCCGGTATCAATAAGAGCGTAGGTAGGGATGAAAGAATTTTTATTCTGTGAAATCGAACAAGTTACTACAAGTTGGTTTCCATCCATTTCCTCCTCTGATACCGAAAAACCAGAAATACACATCCTAGAAAAATCCCTAAACGGTCCCTGTGCTAAGCCACTTAGTGCAGGGACAAATCTTTTGCCGACTCATTATCGCTTCCATCATTTTCCTCTACCGTCAATGCTGCTCCCCTCATCACAGGTCTTCTTGGTTGATTTCCAGTTGCCCTCGCTTGGGGGCAATCCCTAACCATATGTCCAACACCTCCACAATAAAAACATCGGCCCTCAACTAAGCGGGCATTTCTTTCGGCAGGGGAGGGGCGACGACGTCCTCCAGACAGATCCATTGGTACATCACCTCCCGGGCGGGACGAGGGATGACTTTCCGTAGCAGGTACATTAGCGACTGGAGCGGCAGCACGGGGAGCAGGAACAGGATTTGCTGGTGGGGGACGAGGGGCCGAGGTAGTAGTAACATTCCAAGGCTTTTTATTTCTTCGTTTAGCCTCCGCCGCACGGCGACGATTATCCAACCGTTGCAAGAGTGTCGCACAGGTATTGTAACGGCAACTATGGATTTCGGTTAGATGATGAATTGGAATGGGAAGGAGAGGTATTGTGTAGTCGGATTGGGATTTGTAATTGGAGTTTCTGTTATGTTCTTTTAGTTTCTGTTATGCGAAGGTATTAGTCATCGTTGGACTATGGTTGGATATATAAGGAAGCGTTGTCTCGTGTCTTTATATGTTTTCTTTCTTTCCTTCTTTCTTTACGCAACCTCTGTATTTATTCCACGAATATTACTTTTGTTCCACGCTACGTCATAGGGCTCGTCTTGGATCTCGGATCAGGATTGAACCACCCCATAGTCCATAGCTACGAAGATCTTCTACTACGTTCTTGCCTCGGTTGTATTCCTTGGCACTATAGTCCATCGTCCATAGACCCACGTTATACGTAGGTTGCGTCCCCTATCGCCAACCAATACAACACCATAGTTTACAATGTCGGAACATGCTCCTATTGATTATCAACAACTCAGTAACGGCCTCCAAACCTTTTTTCAAGAACATCCACAGGTCAATGATGTTATCGGAGCCGAAGCCTATGCACTCCTCCAACAGTGTCAACATGGTCTTGCTCAGTATGCAACGGATTTACAAGAGATAGAAGCGGAGGCTGAAAGGGCGAGAAGAATGTTTGAACGAGATCTTGCTGCTGCCCGAGCCCAACAGACTGCTGTCTAAGCTGTTGCCCCTGAGGGAGCACCTGTCGGGGACAATGCTCCACCTCTACCCCCAGTACCACTCACTACAGATACTACCTATCGGTCAGAAAAGCTTCCGGATCCTGAGGTGTTCAGGGGGGATCGTGATCGAGAAAGACTACACCTATTCAAGCAACAAATGAAAATCAAGCTATTGGGAAATGCCGATCGCTACCCCACCCTACAGTCGAAATTATCCTATGCATTCAGTAGATTGGAAGGCGTTGCTGCCAATCAGTTCTTACAGTATGTCGGGGAAGGAGAGATTACCTTGCCCTCTATGGTACGATTCTATGAGGTTTTGGACACTGCTTTTGGGGACCCCGATCGGATGCGCACGGCTAGGAGGAATCTCCGGAACATCCGTCAACGAAATCGAACGTTCGCCGACTATTTCGCTGAGTTTCAACGATATGCTGCTGAGTCGGGTATGGATGAAGCCTCTCGGATTGAGGCTTTGATGGAAGGTGTTAATGCGGAACTCGATGAATCAATGATACACCATGATACTCCTGCGACGGTAGATGCCTGTGCGACACTCTTACAACGGTTGGATAATCGTCGTCGTGCAGCGGAGGCTAAACGAGGAAATAAAAAACCTTGGAATGTTACTGCTACCCCGACCCCTCGTCCCCCACCAGTAAATCCTGTTCCTGCTCCCCGTGCTACCGCCCCAGCCGCTAATGTACCTGCTACGGAAAGTCATCCCTCGACCCGCCCGGGAGGTGATGTACCAATGGATCTGTCTGGAGGACGTCGTCGCCCCTCCCCTGCTGAAAGGAATGCCCGCTTAGTTGAGGGCCGATGTTTCTATTGCGGAGGTGTTGGACACATGGTTAGGGATTGCCCCCAAGCGAGGGCAAGTGGAAATCAACCAAGAAGACCTGTGATGAGGGGAGCAGCATTGACGGTGGAGGAAAATGATGGAAGCGATAATGAGTCAGCAAAAGATTTGTCCCTGCACTAAGTGGCTTAGCTCAGGGACCATTTAAGGATTTTTCTAGAATGTGTATTTCGGGGTTTTCGGTATCAGAGGAGGAAATGGATGGAAATCAGCTTGTAGTGACTTGTTCGATTTCACAGAATAAAAATTCTTTCATCCCCACCTACGCTCTTATTGATACCGGAGCATCAGGATACGCTTTCATCGATGAATCTTTTGCACGCCACAATAATCTTACAATGACCCCCCTCAAGATACCTCGCCATGTAGACGTTATAGACGGAAGACCTATTAAATCAGGAAAAATCACCCATATTGTCGATGTCTCGCTGGACATTCATGGTCATCGAGAGACTGCACCATGTTTTGTAACGAAGTTAGGACACTATCCGATTGTGATGGGAATACCTTGGATGCGACGTCATGATGTTACGATTCGACCAAAGGAAAATCTACTTGTTTTCGACTCTCGAAGTTGTTGTCAATACTGTTCACTTAGTGGAACTGCAGTTATTGTTCATGGAATCTCGATTCCTCTACCAGAACATCATACAGTCATCGTTTCGGCAACCGAAAAATTTACCATTGATATTGAAGAACTAGTACCGAAGGAGTTTCATCATCGTCTTCATATGTTCAAGGAATACGATGCTTCAATTCTCCCACCACATCGACCGTCCCATGATATTGAAATAGTATTGGAAGAAGGCAAACGACCACCATATGGACCTATATATGGATTATCTCAAATCGAGTTGAAGGCACTACGAGAATATCTTGATGAAAATTTACCCAAAGGATTTATTCGGGCTAGTGAGTCACCAGCGGGAGCACCTATATTATTTGTGAAGAAAAACGATGGAACCCTTCGACTTTGTGTTGATTATCGAGGTCTAAATGCAATCACAATCAAGAATCGATACCCACTACCATTGTTAAAGGAAACTCTAGCCAAGTTGTCAAGAGCACAATACTATACTAAGTTGGATTTGCGCTGGGGATATAATCAAATCAGAATAGCGGAAGGGGATGAATAGAAGACGGCATTCCGGACTCGATATGGACATTTCGAATATACAGTAATGCCGTTTGGATTAGCTAATGCCCCTGCTACCTTTCAACATTGGATCAATGATATCTTACGTCCCTACCTCGATCAATTCGTAACGGCATACTTAGACGATATCCTTATCTACTCCGAGACTCTATCAGAACATAAAGAACACATTCGAAAGGTTCTAAAGGTACTTGATGAGAATCATGTTCACCTTAAACCTGAAAAATTTGAATTTATGGTTCAAGAGACGAAATATCTTGGTTTAATCCTTACCCCAAATGGGAATAGAATGGACCCAAAGAAAGTTATCGACGTTTTGAAATGGTCCACACCAATGAATCTCCATGATGTCCAAGTATTTCTAGGATTTGCAAATTTCTATCGACGGTTCATCCTAGGATATTCAAAAATTGTTGCTCCACTTACAGCCTTGACCAAGAAAAACGCTAAATTCGAATGGACGGATGATAGGGACGAAACATTTCAAACTTTGAAAAAGATGTTTACCACGGCACCGACACTAGTTCATTTTAATCCGGATAGGAAAATTGTGATAGAAACCGATGCATCTGATTATGTTTCAGCAGGAATCCTATCTCAACGTGACGACGAAGGAATTCTACATCCAGTCGCTTTCTTTTCCAAGAAACATTCTCCTGCAGAATGCAACTATGAAATCTATGATAAAGAACTTTTAGCAATCATACGATGCTTCGAAGAATGGCGACACCATTTGGAGGGAGCTCAATTTCCAATTGAAGTTCTTAGCGACCATCGAAATCTTGAATATTTTATGACAACAAAATTATTAAATCGTCGACAAGCCCGTTGGTCCGAATTCCTTTCACGCTTCGATTTCATTATACAATTTCGACCAGGAAAACAAGGAACAAAACCAGATGCATTGACTAGAAGGTCAGGTGACCTACCTAAAGAGGGGGATGAACGGTTAACGCATCAGAGTCAAGTGATTTTGAAGCGAAAAAATTTGAGTACAAAGCTAAGTTTGTTCGCGGGTTCTTTGTCAAATGAATCCGCTGAAGGAGCGTCCACTGTAGAGGAGTTATTTTCAAAAGCTTACCAAGTTGATAGTTTTCCAAACAAGATCCTCACTATGCTTCGGAATGGCATTCGCTACTCGAGTAAAATTTCGCTTGCCGAATGTACGGAAGACAATAACGGTCGGCTACTTTATCGAGGCGCGCTATACGTACCAGACGACAATGACCTTCGACTAAGGCTTTTAAAAGAACATCATGATAAACCATCCGCAGGACATCCGGGTAGAGCAAAGACATTGGGACTTCTAAACTGAGAATATTATTGGCCACAAATGCGAAAATATGTCGACCAGTACGTTAGGAATTGCGATGTGTGTACCCGTAGCAAAGCACCACGCAACGCACCTTACGGAGTACTCCGTCCTATGCCGATACCTGAGGGACCATGGATGGATATATCGATGGATTTTGTTACTGATCTCCCTGAGAGCGATGGATACAATGCAATCTTGGTTGTGGTAGATAGATTAACTAAAATGCGACATCTAATACCAACGACTAAAGAGGTAGATTCAAAGGAAGTAGCAAGGCTATATATCGATAATGTTTGGAAGTTACATGGATTACCTGATACTATTGTATCTGATCGAGGGACACAGTTCGTTGCGGAATTTTGGAAGTCGCTTTGTGATCGGTTGGAAATATCACCAAAATTCTCTACTGCATTTCACCCTCAAACAGATGGACAAACGGAAAGAATCAATGCCGTAATGGAACAGTACCTCCGAAGCTATATTTCTTACCAACAAGATGATTGGGCTCGAATGCTACCAATGGCTGAATTTGCGACAAACAATCATGTCTCCGAAACAACAAAGGTCTCCCCGTTCTATGCTAATTCGGGAAGAAATCCAAGGATGACTTTTGGCCCTTTGGAACATGGTCGAACGACGGCGGAGGATCAGGCGAACCGTATTGCAAGAGAAATGAAGGATGTAATGGATTTTCTAAGAGAAGAGATGTTTCGGGCGCAAAAGATACAAGAAGAATCAGCCAATAGAAATCGAACTCCAGCTCCTCATTACCATTTAGGAGACAAGGTTTTCCTATCAACTCGCCATATTCTAACGAAACGACCTTCCAAGAAATTCGATTGGAAACGTATTGGACCCTATAGCATTAAGCGGATTGTCAACCCCTATGCTTATGAATTGGAACTTCCCCGATCGATGAAAATACATCCAGTATTTCATGTCTCATTATTGTCTCCTGAAGCAGGCAATCTTCTACCTGGACAACGACAGTCGCCACCACCTCCGGTTGAGATCGAAGGAGAGGAAGAATGGGAAGTTGAAGATATTTTGGATTCGAGGGAACGAAGAGGAAGGTTTGAGTACTTGGTACGATATACAGGATATGATGAAGTCTCCTGGCAACCACTATCGGACCTTGAGCATTCATCTAATATTGTCAAACGATTCCACGAACGTTATCCGGAGAAACCTAAGCCTACCAGGAGGTAGGCCTTAGAGAGGAGCGTGGTCTGTAACGGCAACTATGGATTTCGGTTAGATGATGAATTGGAATGGGAAGGAGAGGTATTGTGTAGTCGGATTGGGATTTGTAATTGGAGTTTCTGTTATGTTCTTTTAGTTTCTGTTATGCGAAGGTATTAGTCATCGTTGGACTATGGTTGGATATATAAGGAAGCGTTGTCTCGTGTCTTTATATGTTTTCTTTCTTTCCTTCTTTCTTTACGCAACCTCTGTATTTATTCCACGAATATTACTTTTGTTCCACGCTACGTCATAGGGCTCGTCTTGGATCTCGGATCAGGATTGAACCACCCCATAGTCCATAGCTACGAACATCTTCTACTACGTTCTTGCCTCGGTTGTATTCCTTGGCACTATAGTCCATCGTCCATAGACCCACGTTATAGGCATCTACCGTCGCAGGAGTATCATGGTGTATCATTGATTCATCAAGTTCCGCATTAATACCTTCCATCAAAGCCTCGATCCGAGAGGCTTCATCCATACCCGACTCAGCAGCATATCGTTGAAATTCAGCGAAATAGTCGGCGAACGTTCGATTTCTTTGACGGATGTTCCGGAGGTTCCTCCTAGCCGTGCGCATCCGATCGGGGTCCCCAGAAGCAGTGTCCAAAACCTCATAAAACCGTACCATAGAGGGCAAGGTAATACTTCCTTCCCCGACATACTGTAAGAACTGATTGGCAGCAACGCCTTCCAATCTGCTGAACGCATAGGATAATTTCGACTGTAGGGTGGGATAGCGATCGGCATTTCCCAATAGCTTGATTTTCATTTGTTGCTTGAATAGGTGTAATCTTTCTCGATCACGATCCCCCCTGAACACCTCAGGATCCCGAAGCTTTTCTGACCGATAGGTAGTATCTGTAGTGAGTGGTACTGGGGGTGCAGGTGGAACATTGTCCCCGACAGGTGCTTCCTCAGGGGCGACAACCTCCACAGCAGTCTGTTGGGTTTGGGCAGCAGCAAGATCTCGTTCAAACATTCTTCTTGCCCTCTCAGCCTCCGCTTCTACCTCCTGTAAATCCGTTGCATATTGAGCAAGACCATGTTGACACTGTTGGAGAAGCGCATAGGATTCGGCTCCAATAACTTTATCGACCTGTGGGTGTTCTTGAAAAAAGGTTCGGAGGCTGTTGCTGAGTTGTTGATAATCAATCGGAGCGTGTTCCGACATTGTAAACTATAGTGTTGTATTGGTTGGCGAAAGGGGACGCAACCTACGTATAACGTGGGTCTATGGACGATGGACTATAGTGCCAAGGAATACAACCTAGGCAAGAACGTAGTAGAAGATATTCGTAAGTATGGACTATGAGGTGGTTCAATCCTGATCCGAGATCCAAGACGAGCCCTATGACGTAGCGTAGAACAAAAGTAGTATTCATGAAATAAATACAGAGGTTGCGTAAGGAAAGAAGGAAAGAAGGAAAACAAGTAAAAGCACGAAGCAACGCCCCCTTATATATCCAACCAAAGTCCAATAATGACTAATATCTTCGCGTAACAGAAACCAAAAAAACGTAACAGAAATCCCCATTACAAATCCTACTCCCACTACACAATACCTCCTCGTCTCGTTCCAATTTATTACCTAGCCGAAATACATGGTTGCCGTTACATCAGAAGTCTGCGCTTCCGTATCCATTCCCACTTGATGCACGAGGTGAAAGGGTACCTGGCAGACTCTATGATATATGGGCTTGGAAATCTTGTGAGGCCTGAGGTAAGGGCTGATCAAGTGGAATACCTTTTGAAGAATGATCGTTTCTTGAGCCTCCAACAGTATTACGAGGTATGATGGATGTCCAGAGAGTACTCGGGATAGCCGCTGACAGATTCTGAACTTACCAACTATGCTTCCTGGCTCCAGAAATTATCGATATATTGTATTTTAAATACTTCGATGAGGTAAAAATGTGAGGAGTTAGGGATCCTGAATTTCTAGAGTGGATAACCCCTACCTTTACTTGCCTGATATCGACGGCGATCTGACACGGTATTCGGGCGTAGTCAATAGGGAGTTACTTGAAGCCTGATAATTTTCAGTCGCAGAATGAGAGTGTTGGAAGTAAGTATGGCCCGATACCCTCATTGATATAGTGAGTGCTTTGGGAGCAATAGCGGATGCTCCTAGTACTATACGGGATTGCCGAGCTGACATCCAAACTCGAGTAGAAACGTTCAACAGGATGAGCAACACTTGGAAGGGGAGAAGTTGTAACGGGGGTCCTTTCTAAGAGAAATAGATTTGTATAGAATAAAGACGGCCGTGCAAGATAGACAATCAGGTTGCAGATTATTCAAAGATACTATCGCTAGAACTCAATAATCTTTAAGGGCTCTGCTACCGATGAGAACTTGGTTTTTCTTTCTGATGAAGACTGGAGAGAATAGGACTGAAGGGCGGGAATGAACCTGAGTACTTATACTCCGAAGGCCTCTGTTCTCTGCTCCTAACTCCTTTACTAAGTTCCGGTGGGCCTTCCCTCAGTACCGGAAACAATACCACCGCTACCCCGCTTTTCTCTAAGCGTCAGCAGGTGTTTCCGATACCCAAGGCAACCACCCTTAGTCAAAGCCTTTGTAACACCTGCAGCCTTGGTTGCCACACAACTGAGGACCTGCATGAATGAGCTGCCGCTCAGGTGTAAGCTTAATCATTGCTGTAGAGCTTTCGCTTATTGTAGACTTCCCTAGCATAGTCCCTGCCCTTCGGCGGACTTATAATGCACCGAGGATACAGAGGATCACCGGTCAATCAGAGCTTCACTCTGGCCGGTCTTCTAGTCACTGGCGAGGCATAGACTCGTCAGTCATTGCTCCCATGAATAGATCCTCTTCCTAGCGCCCGGAATGTAGTTACTCTAACAGCTGGTAGCTAACCACACTGCCGGTACTTGCATATCACCGTGCAACTGGCTTCTAACAATAGCTCTCAGCATGTAACCGGGCCCTGTGTGTACTCATACACCAGACAGTTGAAATGGCTCCGTTACACCACTCCCCTCTTCCAGGATCTTGGTCTCCGAGATCTATAACCATTCTATTACCATTCTATATGACAAGAAACTCCGTGATATGCAAGGAAATGAAAACCCAAAGGAAATAATCTACACCCCAACAATCCGCTTGTCCTTGGGTTTCTTAGGATACCTCATATGGAAATCCCGAAGGGCTTCTTCAGCACTCTTCTTGAGATGCTCCCAAGGTTCCCATGTAGCATCCTCGTTCTCATAACCTTCCCACAGCACTAGATATTCCACTCGTCTTCTCTTCTTATTGACCCGGCTATCAGCTACCTCTCGGACAACCCAGTTCTGTTCTCCCTCAACCTCTTCGGGTTCCGGTGGGGGAACTCTTCTCTCAGGATCTACCGGTGCTCTGTAGGGTTCTAGGAGAGAGACATGAAAGACCGGGTGGATTCCCATCTGGGGGGGAAGAGAGAGCTTGTAGGCACGGGTACCAATAGCTTCTAAGACCTTAAAGGGTCCCATCTTCTTCTGATCCAATTTTCCCAAAGGCCGCTTTGTTTGCACATTGCGCCGGTCCAACATAACTTCATCTCCGGGCTTGATTTCAGGTGGTGCCAGGGCATGAGCATCATACCACCGGGCCATCCTTAATCTAGCTTTACCCAAGCTGGCGTTCATAGCCTGCCAGATAGATTCCCATTGAGAAATCATGACCTCACTTGCTGGATTGTTCCATTCTACTCCTTCCTTTGGGGCCGGCCAGTTGGTCCTGGGTTCATATCCATAGTTGGCATAAAAAGCCGATACTTTGGTAGACTCAGAGACCGCCGAGTTATAAGCATACTCTGCCAAAGGCAAGAGTTCTGCCCAGTCATCCTGTTGATATGAACAATAACTCCGCAAGTAATGTTCCAGGGTCTGATTAACTCTTTCTGTTTGACCGTCCGTCTGGGGGTGGAAAGATGTGGACATCTTCAGCTTCACATTGAGGAGGCTCATGAGAGATTGCCAAAAGTGAGAAATGAACCTGCTATCTCTGTCCGAGACTATGTCATCAGGCAAACCATGGAGTCTCCAAACTTCCTTCAAGAACAATTTAGCCAAATCTTCCGTTTTATTGAGGGTAGGAAGAGGGATGTAGTGTGCCATCTTCGAAAAGCGGTCCACTATTACCCAGATCTTTGTAAACCCACTAGATTCCGGTAGTCCCACAATGAAGTCCATAGAGATGGAAGTCCATGGCCGATAGGGTATCTCCAACGGTTGGAGCATACCAAACTTCTTGTGTCTTGAGGTCTTATTCCTCTGGCAGCTGTCACAGCTCCGGACATATTCCTCAACATCCTTATCCATGTTGGGCCAAAAGAAGTTATTTTTCACCCGCTCTAGTGTCTTAAATTGGCCAAAATGACCAGCCACCTTAGAGTCATGGGTATCGGACAGTATTTCCATCTGAAGCTTCTTGTCCTTGGGTATGTACCATCTATTCTTGTAGAAGATGAGACCGTTCTTGACCGACAAGTTCTGGTCCAAATTTGGTTTCCTTTCAACCAGGGAGCGGTGCAATTCCTGCCAGAAACTATCCTCTTTAGCAGCCGTGTATAGGCGCTCTAAGAATGTATTCTGCAATTGATTCACCCTGACAGCCCCTAGCTTTGCAGGATCCAAAACCAATTGACCTGGCCTAAAAAAGATCTGTGGCTCCGGCTGCAGAGTTTCACCTCCCTCTCCAAGGCGGTGATCCCAGCGCCTAGATAGCACATCAGTCTTGCCATTCTTTTCTCCCGGTCTGTAGACAACTTTAAAATTGTAGCCTGCGAGGTCCTCAGACCATCTAGCTTGCCGCCTAGTGAGAACCTTGGTAGAATTAAAGTACTCCAAGTTCTTGTGGTCTGTAAAAACCGTGATCTCTTGCTCACAAGATTTGAGCATGTGTTCCCATTCCCGGAAAGAGGCTACAATAGCTCCCATTTCCTTATCATGAATGTCATAGTTGATCTCAGCAGGGGAGAACTTCTTAGAATAGAATGCCACCGGATGTAGCTTCCCATCATCCCCATACTGAGAGAGCACCGCTCCCTTGGCAAAATCACTGGCATCTGTCTCGACCACCGTTCTCCTACTAGGGTCAAAATGAAGGAGGATTGGAGCGCTTGTAAACAGCCTCTTGAGTTCTTCAAAGGCCTGCTCATGTGCTGCTGTCCAATACCATTTCTTGTCTTTTTGCAGGAGGTCAGTTAGTGGTTTGCAAACCTTACTGAAGCCTTCAATAAAGCGGCGATAGAAGTTTGCAAATCCGAGGAATGCCTGTACTGCCTTGATATTCTCAGGGACCGGCCATTCCTTAACTGCCTCCACCTTGTCTTCTGACATAGATACTCCTTGTTCCGAGATATGATAGCCTAGGTATTCTACTTCTCGGACATGGAAGGATGTCTTATTGATCGAGGCACAGAGCTTAGCTTCCCTAAGCTTCTGTAGTACCTTCTTGACCAATAGCTCATGCTCTTTCTCAGTCTCCGAGTAGATGAGGATGTCATCGATATAGACAACTACTCCTTCATCCAGTAGTTCCTTTAGCACATCATTGATCATTGCCTGGAAAGCGGAGGGAGCATTGCATAGGCCAAATGGCATCACATTGTACTGATACAGTCCATAGCGGGTTCTGAAAGCGGTTTTCCACTCATCACCTTCGGCTATCCTGATCAAATTGAAGCCATTCTTCAGGTCTATCTTTGTGAAGATCTTGGCCTTGAACAACCTGTCTCTGAGCTCACTCATGATAGGCAGCGGGTACTTGTCCTTGACAGTGACCTTGTTCAAACCTCTATAATCCACACAAATCCGCAAAGTCCCGTCCTTCTTAGGAATGAACAGTATGGGTGCCGCAGCAGGGCTATTCGATCTAGAGATCTTTCCTGAAGACAACTCTTTGTCCAGGTACTCTCGGAGGGCCTTCAACTCTGGAGCGGAGCATGGGTATAGCGGGCCAAATGGGGGAGCGGTCCCAGGCAAGAGTTTGATCTTCAGATCATTATGGGAATGCGGCGGCATTTCCTCAATCTTCTCTTGACTGAACACATCAGCCCAATCCCGGTATAGGTGGTGTATTTTCTCGGCAATATCACCTCCGTCCTCATCATGCCATACTGAACCAACCAATTGATAGACTGTCTCTTCTTCTTCCAACATTTGGTAT